CACACACACACACACACTCTCTCTCTCACACTCACACACACACACACTCTCACACTCACACAGACACTCACACTCACACAGACACTCACACAGACACACACTCTCTCTCTCACACAGACACTCACACTCACAGACACTCACACTCACACAGACACACACTCTCTCACAGACACTCACACACACACACACACACTCACTCACACACACACGCACACAGACACTCACACACACACACTCACACAGACACACACACTCACTCACACACATTTACTTAGCCATCAAAATGGGGACATTACATAGACTTCTATTGTTTATATATCTAGATAGTTATAGATTTTATAAGCTAATCCTAACCCACGGTTTTTATAAATTTGACCCCAAAATATGGTTAAGTAGGTACACATACTCACACACACACTCACTCACTCACACTCACACACACAGATAAACACTCACACACAGAGCACAGGTCTGAGGTCATTTCTCTGTGCAGGTGGATGATGATGATGATGAAGATGAGGGCAGCAGTGCGGTCGGGCCGTCCGTCTCCCTGCGGTTGTCTAACACGTTTGAGTTCGGTCAGGCGCTGAACAGCGCTCTCTCTGGTGGTGACCTGCTGACCTGCGCTGAGCTCATGCGCTCCGTCACTTCCGAATGCCTGCCGCGGCTCATCGGCACACAGCTGGACGGACACACGCTGGGCTTCATCATACGGGCGCTGAACACACACCTGCTGCACACACACCCCGAGCTGGTGTTCCTGCACCTGCAGCAGCTGCAGACGGCACGCAGACTCACGGTGAGCAAACCACACGCCAACAAAGATGACAACAACACGCCAATGCACTAACAACACGTTAACCACACACCAATGACATGCTAACAACACGCCAACGACACACTAACAACACACCAACAAACATGCTAACACATGCCAATCACACGCCTACCATACGGCAACAAACATGCTAGCACATGCCAATCACACGCTAATGACATGCCTACCACACACCAATCACATGCTAACAACACGCCAACCACACGCTAACACATGCCAATCACGCACTAACAACATGCCTACCACACACACCAACAAACACGCTAACACACACCAATCAAACGCTAACAAGATGCCTAACACCCGCCAACAAACACACATACCACACGCCAATCACTCGCCTACCACACGCCAACCATATGCTAACACATGCGTCAGTCACACATGCAACAACACGCCAACACATGCCAACCACACGCTGACAACACACGCCTACCACATGGCAACAGCACGCTAACCACATGCAACAGCATGCCAACAAACACGCCTACCACACACCAACCACCACACGCCAACAAAGATGACAACAACACGCCAATGCACTAACAACACGTTAACCACACACCAATGACATGCTAACAACACGCCAACAAACATGCTAACACATGCCAATCACACGCCTACCATACGGCAACAAACATGCTAGCACATGCCAATCACACGCTAATGACATGCCTACCAAACACCAATCACATGCTAACAACACGCCAACCACACGCTAACACATGCCAATCACGCACTAACAACATGCCTACCACACACACCAACAAACACGCTAACACACACCAATCAAACGCTAACAAGATGCCTAACACCCGCCAACAAACACACATACCACACGCCAATCACTCGCCTACCACACGCCAACCATATGCTAACACATGCGTCAGTCACACATGCAACAACACACCAACACACGCCTACCACATGCAACAGCATGCCAACAAACACGCCTACCACACACCAACCACATGCTAACACATGCCAACCACACACACCAACAAACACGCTAACACCTGCCAACCACACGCAACAACACGCCAACAAACACACTAACACATGCAAACAAACACACCAACAAACAGGCTAACACATGCCAACCACAAGCTAACACACGCCAACCACACGCAAACACGGCAACAAACACGCTAACACACACCAATCACATGCTGACAACACACCTACCACACGCCAATCATACACCTACCACACACCAACAACACGCAAACATCATGCCTACCACATGCCAATCACACGCCTACCACATGCCAACAAACATGTTAACACGCAACATCACACCAACAAACAAGCTAACACATGCCAACCACACGCTGACAACACACCAACAACACGCTAACACACGCCAACCACATGCTAGGGCTGTGCAATTAATTGAAATACGGTTTTGATTTTGGTTCCTACGATTATGAAAATGCAATAATCAAGATAAAACGATTATTATGCACCATTTCACCCCTTTCCAGCTGTGCGCTTTCACTCCATCATTAAAGCCCAAACTTCACGTGCAAATAGTTATGTAACAACTTTTGCAAAATGGGACGTGCTTGATTGATTAAAGTTTATTCGATTTATATATGTTAAAAGCCCGAAAGAAAACTTGCGCTAATTCAGAGTATTTCTGTGGTGCGCGCGGAGACGGAACAGATGCCGACGAGTAAAAAGTCAACTTTTAGTTTTAGGTGCGTGTCTAAACGGTCAAATACACGCAAACATATGTCAAAATGTGGCGCTTAATGATTATGCACGTAAACCCTCGTCGTTCATGTCTTCAGTAAATGTAAACAGTTGAGAATGAAAATACGTCTTTAACAGTATATTGGATCCGTGCCGCTCTTAAAGTGACAGCAGGCTAAACATTCCTGCAAACTTTGCTTACTATTAATCAAACAACAAAACTCACTGCTCTGGACTGATGGATATTTGTAGCATCAATAATAAACAAAGCACGTTTCATTCTTACAGTAAAATATGTCCTTTGCTTTTTTTGTTTTTATTGTATTACTGACTTTAATTATTTTTCAATATTTTGTTTAACTCATACAAGTTTTCAAGTATTGAGAATTGTGGAATTTTGCTGGTGTCTAAAATGATGTCAAAGGAACCTTGTTTAAAGAAAATCTATATTTGATATATCGCTATCTTTAAATAAATTACTCATATAAAGTTTTGGTCATATGGTACACTTACAATTACAATATTGACCAAAATATTTGTGATTATGATTTTTGCCACAATCGAGCAGCCCTACCACATGCCAACAACACGCTTATATAATATTTATATTTAAGATCAACAAACAAACTCGTAATAGTGGACAGCAGGACGAGTCCCTGATCAGCCAATCAGAAGACAGTGCTGGGTTGAGGAACGCGTGTGTGCATTATTTAGTGAGCAGAACAATCATGAACACACTGCAAGTGTCATTATCAGTGTGTTAAAGCGTTTTCTCATGTGTGTGTGTGTGTGTGTGTGTGTGTGTGTGTGTGTGCAGATGGTGCTGATGTTGTTGGACGGTGAGGATCGCACACAGCTCTCACAGATCTTCCAGAAGCTTCATGCAGTGCAGACTCAAGCTTTCTCACAAAATGACGTCACAAACCTGGCCAACAAATACCTGTGATGCTCCTTCAGCCTTCCCATGATTCCACACTCACACACAGCTGGACGGACACACGCTGGGCTTCATCATACGGGCGCTGAACACACACCTGCTGCACACACACCCCGAGCTGGTGTTCCTGCACCTGCAGCAGCTGCAGACGGCACGCAGACTCACGGTGAGCAAACCACACGCCAACAAAGATGACAACAACACGCCAATGCACTAACAACACGTTAACCACACACCAATGACATGCTAACAACACGCCAACGACACACTAACAACACACCAACAAACATGCTAACACATGCCAATCACACGCCTACCATACGGCAACAAACATGCTAGCACATGCCAATCACACGCTAATGACATGCCTACCAAACACCAATCACATGCTAACAACACGCCAACCACACGCTAACACATGCCAATCACGCACTAACAACATGCCTACCACACACACCAACAAACACGCTAACACACACCAATCAAACGCTAACAAGATGCCTAACACCCGCAAACAAACACACATACCACACGCCAATCACTCGCCTACCACACACCAACCATATGCTAACACATGCGTCAGTCACACATGCAACAACACGCCAACACATGCCAACCACACGCTGACAACACACGCCTACCACATGGCAACAGCACGCTAACCACATGCAACAGCATGCCAACAAACACGCCTACCACACACCAACCACATGCTAACACATGCCAACCACACACACCAACAAACACGCTAACACCTGCCAACCACACGCAACAACACGCCAACAAACACACTAACACATGCCAACAAACACGCCTACCACACACCAACCACATACTAACACATGCCAACCACACACACCAACAAACACGCTAACACCTGCCAACCACACGCAACAACACGCCAACAAACACACTAACACATGCAAACAAACACACCAACAAACAGGCTAACACATGCCAACCACAAGCTAACACACGCCAACCACACGCAAACACGGCAACAAACACGCTAACACACACCAATCACATGCTGACAACACACCTACCACACGCCAATCATACACCTACCACACACCAACAACACGCAAACATCATGCCTACCACATGCCAATCACACGCCTACCACATGCCAACAAACATGTTAACACGCAACATCACACCAACAAACAAGCTAACACATGCCAACCACACGCTGACAACACACCAACAACACGCTAACACACGCCAACCACATGCTAGGGCTGTGCAATTAATTGAAATACGGTTTTGATTTTGGTTCCTACGATTATGAAAATGCAATAATCAAGATAAAACGATTATTATGCACCATTTCACCCCTTTCCAGCTGTGCGCTTTCACTCCATCATTAAAGCCCAAACTTCACGTGCAAATAGTTATGTAACAACTTTTGCAAAATGGGACGTGCTTGATTGATTAAAGTTTATTCGATTTATATATGTTAAAAGCCCGAAAGAAAACTTGCGCTAATTCAGAGTATTTCTGTGGTGCGCGCGGAGACGGAACAGATGCCGACGAGTAAAAAGTCAACTTTTAGTTTTAGGTGCGTGTCTAAACGGTCAAATACACGCAAACATATGTCAAAATGTGGCGCTTAATGATTATGCACGTAAACCCTCGTCGTTCATGTCTTCAGTAAATGTAAACAGTTGAGAATGAAAATACGTCTTTAACAGTATATTGGATCCGTGCCGCTCTTAAAGTGACAGCAGGCTAAACATTCCTGCAAACTTTGCTTACTATTAATCAAACAACAAAACTCACTGCTCTGGACTGATGGATATTTGTAGCATCAATAATAAACAAAGCACGTTTCATTCTTACAGTAAAATATGTCCTTTGCTTTTTTTGTTTTTATTGTATTACTGACTTTAATTATTTTTCAATATTTTGTTTAACTCATACAAGTTTTCAAGTATTGAGAATTGTGGAATTTTGCTGGTGTCTAAAATGATGTCAAAGGAACCTTGTTTAAAGAAAATCTATATTTGATATATCGCTATCTTTAAATAAATTACTCATATAAAGTTTTGGTCATATGGTACACTTACAATTACAATATTGACCAAAATATTTGTGATTATGATTTTTGCCACAATCGAGCAGCCCTACCACATGCCAACAACACGCTTATATAATATTTATATTTAAGATCAACAAACAAACTCGTAATAGTGGACAGCAGGACGAGTCCCTGATCAGCCAATCAGAAGACAGTGCTGGGTTGAGGAACGCGTGTGTGCATTATTTAGTGAGCAGAACAATCATGAACACACTGCAAGTGTCATTATCAGTGTGTTAAAGCGTTTTCTCATGTGTGTGTGTGTGTGTGTGTGTGTGTGTGTGTGTGTGCAGATGGTGCTGATGTTGTTGGACGGTGAGGATCGCACACAGCTCTCACAGATCTTCCAGAAGCTTCATGCAGTGCAGACTCAAGCTTTCTCACAAAATGACGTCACAAACCTGGCCAACAAATACCTGTGATGCTCCTTCAGCCTTCCCATGATTCCACACTCACACACACACACACTCTCACACTCACACAGACACTCACACTCACACAGACACTCACACAGACACACACTCTCTCTCTCACACAGACACTCACACTCACAGACACTCACACTCACACAGACACACACTCTCTCACAGACACTCACACACACACACACACACTCACTCACACACACACGCACACAGACACTCACACACACACACTCACACAGACACACACACTCACTCACACACATTTACTTAGCCATCAAAATGGGGACATTACATAGACTTCTATTGTTTATATATCTAGATAGTTATAGATTTTATAAGCTAATCCTAACCCACGGTTTTTATAAATTTGACCCCAAAATATGGTTAAGTAGGTACACATACTCACACACACACTCACTCACTCACACTCACACACACAGATAAACACTCACACACAGAGCACAGGTCTGAGGTCATTTCTCTGTGCAGGTGGATGATGATGATGATGAAGATGAGGGCAGCAGTGCGGTCGGGCCGTCCGTCTCCCTGCGGTTGTCTAACACGTTTGAGTTCGGTCAGGCGCTGAACAGCGCTCTCTCTGGTGGTGACCTGCTGACCTGCGCTGAGCTCATGCGCTCCGTCACTTCCGAATGCCTGCCGCGGCTCATCGGCACACAGCTGGACGGACACACGCTGGGCTTCATCATACGGGCGCTGAACACACACCTGCTGCACACACACCCCGAGCTGGTGTTCCTGCACCTGCAGCAGCTGCAGACGGCACGCAGACTCACGGTGAGCAAACCACACGCCAACAAAGATGACAACAACACGCCAATGCACTAACAACACGTTAACCACACACCAATGACATGCTAACAACACGCCAACGACACACTAACAACACACCAACAAACATGCTAACACATGCCAATCACACGCCTACCATACGGCAACAAACATGCTAGCACATGCCAATCACACGCTAATGACATGCCTACCAAACACCAATCACATGCTAACAACACGCCAACCACACGCTAACACATGCCAATCACGCACTAACAACATGCCTACCACACACACCAACAAACACGCTAACACACACCAATCAAACGCTAACAAGATGCCTAACACCCGCCAACAAACACACATACCACACGCCAATCACTCGCCTACCACACGCCAACCATATGCTAACACATGCGTCAGTCACACATGCAACAACACGCCAACACATGCCAACCACACGCTGACAACACACGCCTACCACATGGCAACAGCACGCTAACCACATGCAACAGCATGCCAACAAACACGCCTACCACACACCAACCACATGCTAACACATGCCAACCACACACCTACCACACACACCAACAAACACGCTAACACCTGCCAACCACACGCAACAACACGCCAACAAACACACTAACACATGCAAACAAACACACCAACAAACAGGCTAACACATGCCAACCACACACCTACCACACACACCAACAAACACGCTAACACCTGCCAACCACACGCAACAACACGCCAACAAACACACTAACACATGCAAACAAACACACCAACAAACAGGCTAACACATGCCAACCACAAGCTAACACACGCCAACCACACGCAAACACGGCAACAAACACGCTAACACACACCAATCACATGCTGACAACACACCTACCACACGCCAATCATACACCTACCACACACCAACAACACGCAAACATCATGCCTACCACATGCCAATCACACGCCTACCACATGCCAACAAACATGTTAACACGCAACATCACACCAACAAACAAGCTAACACATGCCAACCACACGCTGACAACACACCAACAACACGCTAACACACGCCAACCACATGCTAGGGCTGTGCAATTAATTGAAATACGGTTTTGATTTTGGTTCCTACGATTATGAAAATGCAATAATCAAGATAAAACGATTATTATGCACCATTTCACCCCTTTCCAGCTGTGCGCTTTCACTCCATCATTAAAGCCCAAACTTCACGTGCAAATAGTTATGTAACAACTTTTGCAAAATGGGACGTGCTTGATTGATTAAAGTTTATTCGATTTATATATGTTAAAAGCCCGAAAGAAAACTTGCGCTAATTCAGAGTATTTCTGTGGTGCGCGCGGAGACGGAACAGATGCCGACAAGTAAAAAGTCAACTTTTAGTTTTAGGTGCGTGTCTAAACGGTCAAATACACGCAAACATATGTCAAAATGTGGCGCTTAATGATTATGCACGTAAACCCTCGTCGTTCATGTCTTCAGTAAATGTAAACAGTTGAGAATGAAAATACGTCTTTAACAGTATATTGGATCCGTGCCGCTCTTAAAGTGACAGCAGGCTAAACATTCCTGCAAACTTTGCTTACTATTAATCAAACAACAAAACTCACTGCTCTGGACTGATGGATATTTGTAGCATCAATAATAAACAAAGCACGTTTCATTCTTACAGTAAAATATGTCCTTTGCTTTTTTTGTAACCACATGCAACAGCATGCCAACAAACACGCCTACCACACACCAACCACATACTAACACATGCCAACCACACACCTACCACACACACCAACAAACACGTTAACACCTGCCAACCACACACCTACCACACACACCAACAAACACGCTAACACCTGCCAACCACACGCAACAACACGCCAACAAACACACTAACACATGCAAACAAACACACCAACAAACAGGCTAACACATGCCAACCACAAGCTAACACACGCCAACCACACGCAAACACGGCAACAAACACGCTAACACACACCAATCACATGCTGACAACACACCTACCACACGCCAATCATACACCTACCACACACCAACAACACGCAAACATCATGCCTACCACATGCCAATCACACGCCTACCACATGCCAACAAACATGTTAACACGCAACATCACACCAACAAACAAGCTAACACATGCCAACCACACGCTGACAACACACCAACAACACGC